GACTCTCTGGTGACAGAGGCAGGGGCAGCGAGCGGGCACAGCTCAGCCCCGCCGGGCTGTGATCAAGGGATGCTGCTGTCACTGAGTCACAGGGTCACCTAGGGTAGAAACAGCCTTTGCCCAGTCTGACCGTTGACCCAGCACTGCCAAGTCCACCACTGAACTATGTCCCTGAGTGCCACATCTATGTCTTTTAAATGCCTCCAGGGGTGGTGACTTCATCACTTCCTTGCCCAGCCTGCTCCAGTGCTTGACAGCACTTTGGGTGAAGATTTTTCTTCCTAGTATTCAAACTTAACCTCTCCTGCCACAACTTGAGGTTGTTTCCTCTTGTCCTACCACTTGTTCCTTGGGATACCGACCCCCACCTTGCTACAACCTCCGTTCAAGTAGTTGTAGAGACTGATAAGGTCTCCTTTTCTCCAGAATAAATTTCTAGCAGCAACATCTCTGGCATTGTGACTCTTGAATGTGCTTTCCTCATAGCTTCTCTTCAGAATATGAGAGTTAAAAGTTGACCATAGAGACCATTTAGAAACTTCACTGAAGTACATCCAGAAAATTTTACTGCACAGAAATGCATAAGGAGGAACCTGTGTGCCTCCTATTAAGTTCTGACCAATAAGGGCAAGTTGAAATTGTTTTAATTTTATTGATATTGCCTTATAGGTACCTATGTTTTGTGTCAGGACGAAACTCTGTGTTTAGCTTTTTTTTCCCAGCAATTACATTATCATTCAAGTTAAGTAACACAGGATTTCCAGTCATAAAGAGTCTAGAAATAGTAAGCAAATTACTGGAGGTTAATTCTGGGTTTCTGTTTTATTTTGAAGTGTTTTAAACCAAAGTATTTCTATTCCCAAGAAAGAGTCAGCTAGAAAATACAACTCATGTCATCGATTGAAGGATCAATACCAGAAATATTGTTGGCAGTAGACCTCTGCCTTTATTAATCTAAAACTCATATAACATATTTCTCTAATACAAAGTCTTAAACATGTCAACAAGGGAGAAAAATGCTTCCTAAGTGCCTGGTGAACCATGGCCAGCCAAATAGGATGCTGCTGCCATACAGACTGCACAGTATATTGCAGGCCTGAATTGGAAGAATGCTGACTGCAAAGTCCAACACTCACAATGGAGTTAAATGGCAGAACAAAGCTTGTTCCTGTGTGCAGGGGTGGAGTGTTTATGGCAGGATGGCACATGCTTTCCCCTCATCAGCTCATTAAGCCATTTGTCATTCAAAGCACAGGATCAACAGTGGATGAACAGCTGTTTGATATTTATATTTATCCATGTTGTTCCGTATATATCTTATGTATTAGGTACTTCATAACATTTAATCCTTGCAGTGAAATCAGGAGTTATTTATAGATCTCTGGCATTCTGGAAACCATCAACATTTCAGAAAATAAAACAACCAGAAATGAACACACTTTATAAAAGATCCAATCTATAGTATCTCCATCTCATTAGAGAGAGAATTAAAGCGTAGTGATATTATTAAGTGACAGTAACATATACATATGTATTTTTAAAGACAGGCCCAGGATAATCAAATTGGCCTAAGTACAGAATTATCCATTCTCTCATTGCAGTCTCTTTCTTCACTCCCTTTCATCAAGCTTCTCCATCCTTAAGTGCCTATGATCAAACGCTACTGAAAATACCCAGCTGAAAATACCCAGCTGAGACCATAACTAAGAAGACCATTTTTTACTAATGAAAGTAGACATAAATTAGGGAGGAAATCCAAGGAGATAATGCTTCTTAAAGTAGCTGAAAATTGATCTAACATGTGAAACAGTAGATTTTACTATCTTAGTAGTACTTATGAAGAAAGAAATACCCTATCAATGGAAAAAAACAAGCTCTTTAGTCACATATATTTTCCCCAACAGCAGCTACAGAAGATGGTGTAGGGAGAGTTTGGCCTCTTTCTGTCATGTCTGCCCCTTGCACTCTGCCAGCATCTACAAGTGTTACATTAGGGACATAAACATTTTAAATCATGGATTTTTTAGATTTGATAGTCCATGTCCAGCAGCCACATGATTACATGGGGCAGAACTGTCTTCAGTGTTAAGTATTTGTTATTATTGTGGAAAGAACAGTTCAATTTTGAGCCATCCATATCTGTCATACTATTGCTTGCAAATGTTGAGGTTTCTCCTCTCTCTATTCCAGCCGTTGCACGTATTATCCTGAATAAAGGACCATTTCAAGCTCCCATGTACATTCCAAATAATCAGCCAAGGTGGATCCAACAAAGTAATAGTATTTTCCAACTATTACAGCCTTCAGTACTCTCATCTGCATCATAGATATACCTAAATCTTGGTATAACATCCCATACTTAATTAATCTTATGTTAATCAATAGATATTAAAATGTATTCATTTATACACTAGTTTAATATACAGGTTCATGACTTACATAATATAATTCTTACCAAACCTTTCCTTCTTTCCATAAGCAGACATGAAGAAATAATTTCAAATAGTCAGCCAAACTTCCAATATTTGCCAATATGTGACTGTATATAGACTGAATGCATTTGCCATAGAGCAGTGTTCCATAGAGTACATAATGCATTAGCAGATAATACCAGCTGTTTGTGGAAGATCAAAGTGTTTTCTTCTGTTCTCAATCTCAATTCTTTTTCTGCCAAAAACCTGCCAAATATGTGCTGCTTGTAGGAAATCAGTGGCATTGCCTCAACAAATAATTTTTTTGTAATTAATAGTCAGGTCCTAAAAAGATTAGAAATTAATATATTCAGCCCCATTCAGGATTTGACCCTAAATCTTATTGGCAGCCACCAGTGTTTTATTCAGCTTTTGATAATCCAGGTTTGTCTGTGGGTGGATCTGCTTCTTCTAAGTCTACAAACTCTTCCTCTATTACTGGCTTCAATATTTCCTCAATTTGTGTAAGTCTGTTTTTCAGTTTCTGCTGTGAACTTTTATACTCTGCCAACATCCTGGCAAACTTTGTTTGTAACCTGTCCATTGCTCGTTCCATGTAGGCAACCTTCTCTTCCAGATCTTTAGGATCATTTCCTGAACTTGCAATTTCAATGTCCAACAGCCCATCTTTCATTAGTATTTGCTTGCCTTTTTCTTCCAGCATAGCCTTTGCATCTGGATACTCTGTTAAGGCCTCCACGAGATCATCCTTAGACAGACAAAACAAATCTGAGTATCCAATACTTTTAATATTGGCTGTTCTTCGATTGCCAGCTTTGCTCCCTTTGATATTAAGAATGCTGATTTCTCCGAAGTAGCTGCCATCACTTAGCACCACAAATTGTGTGATTCCATCATCAGCGACTACTGCCAGCTTGCCTTCTTTGATAATGTACATCTCTCGTCCAATATCTCCTTTTCTGCAAATATAATCTCCAGGACTGTATACTTGAGGCTGGAGTTTCAAAACCAGTTCAACCAGCAGACCAGCTTCACAGTCTGCAAAAATCCGAACTTTTTTTAGCGTTTCCAGGTGAACATTGATTGCAATCTCTGCTCTGAGTTTATCTGGCAGATACTTCAAGACTTCCCTTTCATCCACAGCCTTTTTGTTTGTCCACAGGTAGTCAAACCACTTTATAACTCTTTTTTCTAAGTCTTTACTCACATTCCGGAAGTGCATATACTGCTTGATAGCATCAATCCTTGCTTGAAACTCTGCCCTGGCAGCATTCATGTTGGAGATCATAGAGCCCACATTACCAACAATGGTGGCAAAAATCAATACTCCAACCAAGAAGTCAACAACCACGAAGAAATACTCAGAATCTCTTACAGGAGGGGGTGTTTCACCAATAGTAGTCAGGGTCAGTGTTGACCAGTAGAGACTGTAGACATATTTTCTAGTCAGATGGGCAAATTCAGGATCAGAGGTGTTGGGGTAGACCCATGTGTCAGCCCCAAATCCAATGGCTTTTGAGATTGAGTAGTACACACAGGCATTCCAGTGTATAATAATCACAATGTACATGACAAGGTTGGAGATCCTGAAGATATTTGGGTAGTTTGTCCTTGTTTCTGTTCGCTGGAAGAATTCAAACATCCGAGCTACTCTGAGGAGTCTGTTTATTCTTAATTCTGGGTAATTCAATCCAAACTTGAAATATAATAGATCCGTTGGTATGACTGACAGAAAATCTAATTTGAATTGAAAAGATTTCTTGTATTTCTCTCGTAGCTTTTGTTCTTCTTTCACCAGAAGACCTTGCTCCAGGTAACCTAAAATCAAATTACAATTTCAAATGTGTTGTGTTTAATGTCAATCTAAATCTACTTCAAAAATATTCTGGGTGCAAATTCCAGATGGGACATAACTTCTTTTACTTTTTAATATGCAATTTCTTATTTCCAAATATTCAGTTTAGTGCTATATGGTTCAGCTTCAGTTAAACTATACAGCTTTGAAAGATAAACATTTCTAGATCTAATTCTTCCCCTCCACTTTTCTACTATAGTGAACATTTGGGAAAAAAAATCCCAACACCCCCAAAAAAAAAGTACTCCACAGGCTTTAAGAAAGGTGGTTAATGAGGGAAAGAATTTGAACACAGGAATCTCAGTTCCATATTGAGTGTATCTATTCAATAGCTCTGGATATAGTATAAGATTTTAAAAGAAACGGTTGCAGCTGAAGTTAATGGGATGTCTTGCTTGCTCAGTAGTCTTGAAAATTAACCAAGGGCTTGAATCTCCTTAAATACAAAATCCAGATTTACATGTTAATTTTTCTGAACTCAGGATCCTCACGTGGATGCATTGCAGGGTTTTTTTGTCTTGTTGAGACAGCTTCTATCTAGCTTACCTCAGGCTTTGTGTAATGCATTCTTTATGCAATACATCAGAGTTTCTCCTATTTTTACAGGTCACAGGCTACAATTTTTCAGAGATTTATCTCAGTGTCTTTTTTCACTATTGCACCTCATCAGGTTTATTCAGATAATACAAGTAGTAGTGTTTTGAATATTTTAAACCACCTGGCACAAATATGTGAAAAGGAATAATTAATCATTGAGTATGCTGACCTGTTCTTGTCCGTACCAACATGTCAACAACATAAATGGCATCAGAAACATAATCAATAATAAACCATGCCACTAAGTAGTCGTGCTGAAGCTCATCAAAACAGGCTCTGAATAGGAAAAGACGTAAGTAAATTATTGTGAAATCAAAATTAAATACTTGCATGAAATCAATGCTGAATAAAACATTTTTTTTGCTATTTATGGATATTATGACTTGCCAGAAGTTCTATGTAGTCATTAAAGGAGCATTCACCTAGCAATAATCATGGTCCAGTTGTACATGACGGGCACTGTGATGCAAAACAACCAGTTGTAATACATATTTCCTGCTGGATCAATGGTTAAAATATCTTTCTTCTTCCTAAGTGATAAGCGGGGCGGGGAAAGGGAGATTTAATGAGAGACTCAAAATACACATACCAATTTTGAGGAATAAAGCATTCCAGAAATTGTTACTGGAAAATAAATTATCTTTATTAAAGTCAAACTGCCTTGCTCGAATGCATGGAAAATATGAAGCTGGTGTGACTTGGGATGCAAACTTTAGAATTTAAATTTTACTGAGCAAAGTTAGCTCAGTCCCAGTTAAGTTTATCTTGGCACATGATATTCATTTTATCACCTTTTAAAAAAAAATAAATTATGTGACTACCTGTGTTTAAATAAGTGAGATAAATCATGCCTTCCTCTCTGGGAAAAATGTAGCTGTGAGAAAGACAACACACTGGCAGTTTACATAAAGAAACCAAAAAATGGGAAGTGGTGCAACACAAGTCCCTACTGCACTTCTTAAAGTTTCTCTTTCTTAGCCAGAAAATTATGAATTTACCAAGCAGAAGGTAAAGCAGCAACTTTTAGATTGTAGAAGAGTTTACTTGCTTGTAGGTACCTTTGTGTGTGGATGAGATTGCTTTATGATGGACCATCTTTTGATGCAGGGTATTATCCAAGAAATATTAGATATTCAGAATCCAAAAGAGATATGTCTTGACTAATTTTTTCAGAATAACTCCATGCATGCATATTTCTGTTGTCCACATCCGAAATTAAGCCAAAAGAAGTCTACTCTAGGGAGAACAACAGCACTCCATACACTCATTCACTAGTGTATAAACATCTTTTTTACAGGATGACCATGAAGAGATTCAATCTTACATTAAAAGCAATTTATTAGACAGCGTAATAGGACCTAAGTGAGACATACTTACTCTTTTATATTTTCTTTCTTCTTGGACTTATCTTTATTTTTTTTTTTCTCCTTTTTTAATTTGTTCTTTTGTGTTTCTCCATCCTTTATTTTTTCTGGCTTGCTAGGAAATAGATTTACATTTTTCCATTGTTAAAGACCAAGTTAAAACATATTTAGAAACAAATGTCTTAGAAACGGTAGTATTATTACTCTTTGTCCTACCTCTTTTTCTCTTTTTTCCTTTTCTTCTCCTGTCTAAGAAAAAGAAAAATATGATAGGCTCGTGGGATGCACATACCTCTTGCTTCCACATTTATTAGAATCGTCTGAATTCAGTAAGGATAACATTATACTTAGGTGTTTGATCTTAAAAAAACCTTATTTTGCTTATTGTATTCACATAGAACTACTTTTCTTTTAAATTAAATGATACAATACCTGTAACTTTGGTATTGAAGATGATCATCATCACTGATGTGCATGAAGCTAAAATGTATGTGCAGTCTCTTTTTGGATTACTTGAATGACATAACTGTTTCTAAAGAAATTGTTAGATATATATCATTCTTCTTCATTTCTGCTTAAACAACCAATATTGCAGTACCCTCAGTTTATGAAATGGCAAAGATACTTAACTCATCTTTATTACTATTATTATTAATATTGTAGCATACAAATGCATCAGGTAGATATCGTTGCCTGGGAAACAACAAAACAACAGTTATGTGATATCTGCTGAAATACAAAAAATCTCCTAAACATTTATAATAAGTTATATATCATAACCTTTAAAACTTAGTTTACTACTAGTAGTGATGAAAATTAGATGATGGCAAGTATCTGTGCTTAGATAATCAAATTATCAAACTGAAAAAAACCAAACTGACACAAAACAGTATATCTGACATACCTGTTTTCCCCTGTGTGCATTAGTCCAGGGTTCTGACTGGTGTCATGCACTACCACACTGGGACCAATTGTATGGGAGTGATGGGTCTCAATCACTCCTACCTTCATGGTCAGGTTTGTCTTAACTTGGATAATTGAGGAAGACTGAATGAAAAAAGAATCAAGTCATTTCACAACTAGAAGTAGTACCTTTTTTCATAAATATAAATAATTTACATCCTTGCTCCCCCAAAGACCAACAAGAATATTTTCAGTTTCCTGTCTCCCATGACATTCTCACCAGATAAGGAAGGACACTGGGTGCTTCAGCATGCTGAATGACCAGGAAACTGCTGCTAAAGAGAATGTTCAACAGATCTTTCTTTTAGAGGAAGCATTAATTTAGACCTTTCTCCTGAGTTGAAAATATTTAGACAATTGGACTTGAAACATCTACCACTGTTTCATTTGGTTTTGAACCAAAGGCTTAACACTTACGGTATCAAGATGGGTAAACAGATTGACTGTGATGGGTCTGGCTGAGGTGAAGCTCATTTTTCCCCATAGTAGCCCTCACAGTGCTGTGCATTGTATTGGTAGCTGGAAAGGTGTTGATAACACACCAGTGCTTTGGCTAGTGCTGTGCAGTGCTGGCACAGCACGAGTGCCGTCTCTCCCACATTCCATCCCCATCGGTAGCCTGGGGGTGGACAAGATTCTGGAAGAAGACACAGCTAGGACAGCTGACCCAAATTAACCAAAGGGATATTCCATACCGTATGACATCAGCTCAGATATAAAAGTTAAAAAAAGGAGGAGGAGGTGGAGGCATTCGTTATTTACAATGTTTGGTTTCTGGAGCAAGCACTACACATGCTGCAGCCCTGCTTCATACCTTGCTGATGGCAAGTAGAGAATAAAACTATTTTTTTCCCTTTGTTTGTGTGCATGCAAACGTTTGCTTTAGTAAACTGACTTATCTCTTATCGATCTACAAGTTGTTTTCCATCTTGTTTTCTTTCCCCTGTACAGCTGGGAAGGAGTGATAAAGCAGCTTGGTGTGCACCTGAAGTCCAGCCAGTGTCAAACCACCACATTTATGCACAGGAGATATCCTGTTTCTCAGACTAAAAAGTATCCACTGGTTATAGGTTCAAAGAAATCTCAGTATGTATGATACCTGAGAGTTATACTCTGTTGAGAGGAAGAGTAGGTTCTGTAAATAGGAAGTTAAGACTGATGTAGTAGTTTTCTTACTCATATAGCAGGTAGTATATAAACACCTAAATAAAAATGTTAGCAGCTGTTCACGTCTGCTTTATTCACCTCAACAATAAAATACTGAAAAGATTTTACAACCTATATGGTGCACTTTACTGCACATATTTTTAGCACTGGTGTAATTGACTGCTGCTCTCCCTTTTCACCACTATTCTTACAATGCTGTCAGTTATATCTTGGCATCAATGAGACTGCCAACTCTCTGGACATGAATTGTGTTGACAAGTGTGATCTGCTCTTGACAGGGCTATTTAGAGAGAATTATAAACCATATGCTATCAACTGCAGTAACAATATCCCTGCACACGTGAAATCAGCGTATAGAGATGTCTGTAAGCCACAAACTGAGAAATGACTGGCTGTACTCCTGACAAGTGAAGTCAAATGATGTAGAATGAATCAGTCTTAAAGAAAGTACTTCTATTCTGTAGTGCAGAACATAGCAAAACAGCAGCAGGATGATACAGTTGCCATGTTAATGCCAGACTTACCTGACTTCCCTTATTAGTCAGTGAAACTAACAATACTCCTACACAGGAAATAGGAGAGGAAACCCATGTTTCCAGCATGGATCAGACATGAATGGCACATGGCGCAAAAAATAAGACAGCAATATGCAACATTCTACAAAACAGAAGGATAAAGACTGAAGGCTAAGGAGTGTTCTGCCATGAATAGTCCTAAATGTAGTCCAACATTGCTGGTCAGTCTTTTAGTGCTTAAAAGCAAGGATGAGCTCTAAGATAAACATAAAAAGATTCTACATTTCTAAGACATTGTAAACATTAGGCTAGATTTACCAGGTGCCTAAAAGCTGTCACAGAGTTTCCATTGATTTACGCCAAGGATAAACTGTGTTTGAAAGTGTGAAGATTGACATTACGCCAGGTTGAATTAAGCAGCTTTATGTCTGTGTACAGGTGCACTGAAAGCTTTGCTGATGCTGGCACACGAAATTCCATCTTGATTAAACCTATATCCTCCACAGAGCCACACAAATAATGGTGCAAAATAAAGCTGTGTCCAACTTAGCACCAGACAAATGCAAATGCATTCATCTCAAGGGAAATAATTTCCCCAACAGAGTAGGTTCTAAGTCAGTCAGCTCATGGTAGGACTCCCAGTACCAACTGTTCTACATAGGCACTCATTTTTCATGTTTGTATTTTCATGTTGATTATTCTTCAGTTTCAAGAACGATACAAAAAAATCTTTGTGCTCTTTGTAACTACTATGATAATCAACTTTTCAAACATTAAGATCTGAAAACTAGTTATATTAATTAATATACATCAAAATCTTTAGGGCTGCAAGAAAATGAAGGCAGTATCATCCTTCCACCTTCTATCTCTTCTGCTCTTTTATTTTACCTATTTCTCTCTTTCTCATTGGCCCACCACATTGCCTTCTATAGTCAGTATTTTCAGAGAGAAAATGTTTTGAGTGAGGATATCCTGGAACAGATTTTAGCATCATATAAAGATCTATTTTTTTTCTTTATAAAAAGCAGCAAAAAAGATCTTGATTGACATTAAAATCTGTAGTATTTGCAGTGTGCTACAGCAAGATTTCTTTTCTAACATGCTGAGAGTCCTTAGCAGTTCTGCAATACGCAGTTTCAACAGTGCATGCTTACCTCAGGAATGTAATCTGCTGCTTCTAGTAGAGATTTCAGTCCTTTAAATCAGCCACGTTACCACATAAGCAAAGCCACCATGAAAAGATAAATATAATCAATGTTTCATAAATAAATCACTCATTGACTGATTTCTCGAAGACCTAGTCCAACATGCAGTTCTCTGAATTATTCCCAAGGAAGGACGTGGATATTAGAGGAGGATTTCCTTGACCTGGTGATGGATTTTGAGATTTAGAGAGAGATGAAAGTGACAGTGGCAGTCACTATTATCCCTCATCTCAGCAGGAGCTTACTAGCCCTAGATACATGCACAAGAAGTGACAAATATTGGAATGTGTTCTGACTTGAAACTGGAAACAAATATTATTGTAAATTATATATATTAATAGATATATTATATAAAATATACATTCAGTATTGTGTGCTTGCCTGTTTTTGTAATATTGCAGATGGTTTTTTACTGTAGTAACAGGTCCTTACAGTAATAGAACACTGTAAAAGGCAATTTTCTGTTTAATGTGTATATCATATGGCTGAAGAAAAGGAAATACCGTTTTAAACTATTTAAAGTTCTTAGATAATCTAACATAACATATTTTGATGGCTTAAAAAATCCCATGTATTGTGAATATATATTTAGTGAAAATGACATGATGGCGAAGTTAAAGACACTGAACTGATCTTCAAGCAGTCCTCAGGCATTTGAGTGATCGATTTTTCAATCTGGAATGTTTTACATGGCCCATTTTGGGGGGGAAAAAAGGCATTGCTGGGTGTGAAATCCAGTAAAGAAAAGCTTTTAAGCAGCAAAAGGAATGAATGTTCAGATTTGAAATTGTATCTTCATCACAACCATGACATAACTAAAGTTACTGAATTACTTTTTAAATTTGCTTCACAACAAGTAGAATCCAGGAAAGCAGTCCAGCCTTTGGGAATCCAGGATTAAGGCACATTTGTTTCTGTAACCAAGGGCAGCAAGAAGCAATGCCATTAGCAATCATAGGAACCAACTCATATCTTGCAGATTGACAGTTTGTAGATTTAATCACAAATCCAAAGCTCAGTATCACAGGTCAGCCTCCTGACCAGAGAAACAAATTGGACATATCTGCTGTTATAACTTTCCAGCCTGAAGACAATTAGGCCATTTTCTAGGAAAGAGAATGTGTATTTGAAATTTAAAGAATAAAAATTGTTTTAAATAAAACAGTAATGGGCAACAAGGAAATTCATAGTCTAATGCACAGCGGAAGCCAGATTACACAAATTTTAGAGTAAAATATCCAACACAACAAATAGATAAAGGAGTGAATAATTTTCTGAATTCTAGCATATGTTTCACTGTTGTCTTTGAAGGGCTGAAATAAAACTCGTATCCTAAAATCATAGATATGAAAGGAATCTCAGAAGGTCACTGCATCCAACTGGTATTGAATCATGCTCAGTTTTACCTCTGCCATTCCCACGTTTTTGTCTGGATTGCGGTCTGAAAGATGTCAATGTTCAACACTGAGCACTGATTTTTCTGAATATATCGTGGCACTGAGTGTCAGAGACACATGCCTTGTTGTGTGTCCCTAAGGAGATGATATACCTGTTTACTCTTGTAGAGAACAGCCAGTCTCCTTTTAAAGTAAGCAGCTCTGTGAAGCAACTGTAACATAGTTTTTGCTTATTTGTTTCACTGTGGAGTTTTTCCAAGTTCTCAAACAGAGGAAGATGAGTCCTACTGGGCCAAACCAGTTCCTTGTCTGACAATGGCCACGACCTCATTTACCCACAAATAAGTTTGCAGGACAAGTTCTGGGTGAGCTCTTCACAGTGATGTCAATTCTTCCCTCCTCTAAAAGCCAATTACATAGTTGTCATTGGCTTCACCAACAACTACAGTAGTTTAGCATCTATATTTTTTCATGGATATTTTTCTTCTCATGTATTTCATTGAAGTAACCTTGGCTGATGGAGGAATGACTGGGCTGATGGATTATTGGTTTAGTAGGCCAGCTTTAATCTGGTTTTGTATCTTGCATTGTCATCATTTGTAATTCTTCTCAATCCTATTAAGGCTACCTCTGGTTTCAGATACCCATAAGAAAAACACTACATACACTATACATATGTATTATCTGTAAATAAGCAGGTTTTAATGGCACAACTTGCCTTCAGCTTACCATTTCGTAGCTGTGTGAACAGATGGCTGTTTGGA